ATCAATAAATATACGTGCGATCAATACCCGTAAATCTAGTGTTAAAATCTCAAACATCAAATGGGGGGCATTTAATTAAAAATAGATATAATTTCTCATTTCCTTCGTTTGTAAATTCGTTTTTTTTTCTCGAATGGATGCCCCACAATATTGAATCGAATTTCGAAACAGCAGGGAAGAGAAACTAACGTTTTTCACGGAACGTGGCTGAACATTCCAGCAAGCTACTTGTCGATAAAGCGTGCGAATTTTTTCCCGCGCTGTTGAATAAATGTCACGTGGGAAAAATAGAAACGTAGTGGACAAAAATGCATCGAATGTGATCAGAACTTCGAGGCTAGCAGAGAAAGAGGACTTGTTGCGAAATTAATATACACTCGTTTTATTTTAATTCGTAAAAGATCTCGTTGGAAATGAACAATCGCTTTGAGAAGGCTCCATTGTAAAAATAATACTATATTTTTGACTATTGTGAAAATAAGTTTGGGTTAAAGTGAATTGTACATCGATTCTACATTCGTGAAATCTTTTGGGAGAAGAATCTCTATCAAAAATTGATCATTTATAATAATTTTCAACAAGTCAATCTATGACAATGCGTGAGAAATATAACAAAGACCACTTAAAAATTGAATTTGCTCTATTATTAAATAGGATTTTTGAATCCTATAAAATTATTTCATAAGAATTTTATTGTATACCATTTCAAGATATTGCTATAGTCAATTTATAATATCCACTTAAAAATTGAATTTGCTCTATTATTAAATAGGATTTTTAAATCCTATAAAATTATTTCATAAGAATTTTGTTGTATACCATTTCAAGATATTAGTCGATTCGTTCAATCTAGACAACCCTATAGTAAAAATATTCTATATCCAGTTCAGCTTAAACAAATTCGAAACCAGATCAACTGTAACCCCTCTGCCCCTAATTTTGCATGGCCCATTGCACACTTCAGTTACCACACACAATCGCTTTTAGAAAGGCTCCATTGTAAGTTAATACTATATTTTTGACTATTGTGAAAATAAGTTTGGATCAAAGTGAATGCTGAAAATAAATTTGGGTCAAAGTGAATGCTGTACATTGATTCTACAATAGCGAAATCTTTCGAGAGAAGAATTTGTCGAACGTTGGATAGATCCAAAGAGGCTGGCTCGTGACGAGGTCTATCAAAAATTGAATATTTATAATAATTTTCAACAAGACAATTGTAACTACATCAACGTCTATGAAATATAACAAAGACTAGTCAATTCATTCAATCTAGACAACCCTATAGTAAAAATAATCTATATCAAGTTCAGCTTAAACAAATTCGAAACCAGATCAACTGTAACCCCTCTGCCCCTAATTTTGCATGACCCATGGCACACTTCAATTCCGCCAAACTACACTACACGTACGTAGCGTGTGAAATATAACAAAGACTAGTCAATTCGTTCAATCTAGACAACCCTATGGTAAAAATATTCTATATCAAGTTGAGCTTAAACAAATTCGAGACCAGAACGACTGTAACCCCTCTGCCCCTAATTTTGCATGGCCCATGGCGCGCTTCAATTTCCACAAACTACACGGGGGGGAAGGTGGGGGGGGGCGATAAAATTTGATCGATTTGACGCGAAACGATCCCGGGTACAATCTCCGCGTCCACCATTTTTCTCCGGACCGGTGTACTTTCGCGGATCCTCGAGCGGCAAGTTTTTCCTGGTCGAAAGAGCGTAACACACCGGTCGAGAAATCGATGGTCGGGGCCGGCGTCTCTTCCTTTTGCTCTCGTCTTGCGATCCGCCGCCCCTCGACGCCTTTCTCTCTCTCCTCCGCGCCGTTACCCACCCCTCTCCACCCCCCCCCCTCCCCCCGCTGCGTTTCACCCCTTCCCCTCCAGCAGGCGTCCCTCGATTCTCTCTCGCTAACCGAGGTCTTCCTTCTTGTTCGTCGTCGTTTCTCTCTCTCGCCAATTTACGAGCACCACGAAGTGCTCGCGCGGCTGGAAACCGGGTAGCGTCGCGACGGACCCTCCTCTCGATATTCCGGCTACCGGGAATTCGACGCTCGTACGAGGGACTTTGGTATTCCCCGCATGGACCGGGTATCCGGGGAACGTTGCGATTGCGAGCGGCGAATTTTTAGCGACGCCCCGCCGAGGGGAATACCAGCCACGGCCGCTGACGAATGCTTCAGTTTTAATTTTATTTAACCGCTGGGGCAAAACAGGCCTACGTGCGCTCTTTGGTCGACTCCGTGCACCTACGATCTTCGTCTTCCCGTTAATCAAGAAATTAGAAATCCATCGAACGTGTCAAACACGATCGCTATATCGTAACGACGCTTTCTGTAAATGAAAATGAAGTTGGCTATGTACGAGGAAACAAAACGATGTATTTATTAACTCTGGTTGCCTCTCGTTCAACGATCTAACTCTCTAAGCGACGATATTGCCTTTGTATTACAGAGTTATCCGCAACAGTTCTTGAAACGGTCACGGATAACTTTTATTCCGAACAACTGTTATAACGAACTTGAAGTTCGGACTGTATCAGTGTACTTCTGAATCTGTATAGTGTAACTACATGATCTGACCGGTTTGTACGCAGTAGTGGAAACAATGAGACAGTGGGGTAGTGGGCAGACATACCGGAACGCGAGTTCAAGTAGAACGAGTAAATAATGGTCAGACGCGCCAGCCGCCTAAACGAAAAGTTTAATTTCAGGTATCCATCAATAATTTCTATTTTCTGGGAGGATTTTGGGGGGACGATGAAGTTTGAGAACCTCTTAGAAATGATCCTGTGCAGGAAATTTACGCGATAATCTAACATTTATGACCCGCGTAATCGACATCCGTCCAATGGTGTCGTCGACGACATCTGCACGCTGGGGGCGTCGCGCGCATCGAACTATACCTGGCTACCATACTCGTGCTGGTTGTATGATAATAACGTCAGTGGTGGCCGCGGTACCGGCGTCTAGCCTAGCATCAGCCTAACCTGACTCAACGTTCTAACCGTGTGTATTTATACAACAGCTGGAGGGCGAGGGAGGGGAGTGCGGCAGTCAGCTGATCGAGGCGCTGGAGGGGTAACGGGTTTTGGAGGGGAGAACGGCCTTTATTTAAAGCGCTGCTCGAGAGGAAGCCTTTCTTCGACTGGTAAACAGTCATCGAGAATGAACATGCGAGTCACCGACGTGCTTACGTATGCTCGTGACTGAAATATTAACGTGGATTTTTCTGCCTCGTGTTTGATGTTTGCCGGAGGGGGAACGGACGGCTTGACAAGGGGTAAAGGAGGGGGGGGGGGGATGATCGTCGCGGGTTTCGAGACACCGCGTCGGCTTATTAACATAATTAACTGGAATCCAGACGTCGCGCCAACAATACTTTTCCTTCTTTGACGCTCGACGCGCCTGGTGCTCGAGAATTCTCGAGATTCGTTTTGTAACAAATTACTATTTCCGTTTATTGAGCTTATAATTTTTTTTAACCGTTATAACGAAAATAATACACATGCTATTACGTGGTTGATTCGAAATTCGTTCCTAGTATTTGCATCGTTGTGTGACACTTTCAAACATGAATAATTATAATAAAACTATATTTAGAAATATTTAAATATACGTCCAAATATTCACAGATTTGAAATTCCAGGTGATAGTAATATTTTATTCAATAACCATGTGATCATATGGCCACCAATGTTTATTTGTTCGAAGATCCTTGTACCATCTGCTTAAAAATTTTTGCAATAGTATGTTACGTCATACTCGCATTTACATTCACCGTGGAATCACACGCGTTAAATCATCTTCATTAATTTTTAACTACACGTACGTGGGCGTTTGTGATCGAGAAATTGCCCAGTCTACAGGTTGAATTGTTTGGATAATCAGTTTTATTCAATCCATTGTCTGAGATTACAGGCTCTTGCGATTAAGTATACAATAACGAATACGTAAAATTACCAGTAATTTAAATTAATACTATTGTATTAACCATGCTTTATCATCACTGATTCCGTAGTTATATACTTTCTGACGTTATCATTACTTTCAATACACAAAACTGCAATAATTTTGTATATATTTTTCTTATATTTTTAGGTTTATCGTTCATGTTAAATTTAAATTATTAATCATATTCTTCCAGTTTTTCAATCGATCTTGTCTATGCCCCCATCCATTGATCCTTCGAAGTTTATACAAATCTGATTTCAACACTGGCGAATACACAATACGATGAGTTCGAGTTCAAATACAAGCCCATCATCCTTTCTATGTGTTAGGCCTCCGAAATATTTCTAAATATAAACGCGCTGTCTAGACAACCAATTAGTCGTCAAAATCCCAAAAATATGTCGTCATATTCCCAACCATAACTCACCCCCAATCTACCAGCCTTCAATTTCGCGACCAGGAAAAAGTTCACCCTGGTCAGTTCTATTATTTTGTTTTCCGACGAGTTCCTCCCTGTCACGAGCTCCCATCGGTTTTCCCGGGCAAAAAATTTCGGCCATTTCCCCCGGACCGCGTCTTCGGTCTTTCCTCAAAGAAACCCGTCTTCCGCGTTGTAGAAACTCGACGTTTACAATTTTTAAGTCTCGAATTCTGTCTCAGGGATCGCCATCTTGGCAGAGAATAAGAACTGCTATTTATAGTCTCGTAATGTTATATCAGTTCCTTTTCGAAGTTTCAATAATGAACAACAAGTGAGATCTTGATGATCTTGTTTCTAATATTACAGATTTAAAATGTAAAAAAAATCTAGCAAAGTTTCGATCGCTGGACAGAGATTTACGGCTGGCTAAGCTCTTCTCTATTATTTCGTACGTAGTTCCAGAGCGTCGCGAGATCCCGACGAACATATTCGATCGCCTCCCTCCACCCATTCGTCCGCCCCCGTCTTCCATTCGCTCACCCCTTCCGAAACGGAATCGTTCCTCCGCGATGTAGGAAGTCAACGGTTCTAACGAAACGCTGATGCACGTTTTCAGGGGACTGGCATGGAGAAGGAGAACTCCGCATCGGGCGGAGGCGGCGGAGGTGGCGGAGGCGAAGCGGCGGCCACGGCGACTCCGGGCGCCACCTCCGCCTCCGAGAAACTCCAGGCGGACCAGGCCAATCCGTTGCTCGATCCGACTGCGCTCTTCGGTGGTAAGCCAATTTTCTTTTTCCTTCCAACTATTATTTTCTTTCGCCCGTACGACGAACGCCTCCTAAAAATTACCTCGACGACCGAATCCCGGTACCCTACACGGTGATGACCCGAAACGAACATTTCTCGCGACACTTTTGTCCGATCGAAATGAAATTTCATCAAAGCAACATTGTACAGTCCGTGTAAAAAGTATAGAGTGACTAATTACGACTAGAATTCTGAATAATAACCTTTATTGAACATATTACATGTAGGCTCCAAATATCAAGAAAAATGACAGAAATGAACGCGTAATAAGTATTCGTACAGTTCTGTTGTCATTATCAAGTGTACAATTTAAACATTGTTAATAAAAACAACAAATAATTAGTATTTAGAAGGGTTTCCCTTCGATTTTATTATTGAGGCTAGCCTCCTAGGTGCTGAATTAACTAATAAACATTATTATTCAGAATTTTAGTCGTAATTAGTCACGTGTACGAATACTTTTTACACCCACTGTAATTCTTTTATATAATATATTTTGTCTCCGTTTAATTGCCCTAAGGAAACGTTGAAACTGTTTATTCGGTGAATTAGAATACTGCAACATGTGCATCATTTTTTCCCTCCGGTAAATTTTTACATTCAACACTTTGTAAATATTCATATATCAGCTCTAGTAGTTTTATTATTAAGTAAACATGGCAATAATAATCTTATTGAATCAAAATTTTAAACCCTCTTCTCAAAGTGCCACTAAAGTAAATGAGAATCGATGAAGTCAGTAAAATTTGAGAAGTTTGAGAAGTTTTTACGGGGTTAGATGAAGCAATCACGAGTCAAACTCGTCGTTAACAATTTCAGCAATAATTATTAGACAACTTAGAGAATTAAAAACGCCAAAATTCAATCGGCGTGATCGGAATTTTAAACATTCTCGGTTAAAGTGGCACGAAGTAAATGGAGATTGATGGAACATTTGTTGAACATATATCAGCTCTAGTAGTTTTATTATTAAGTAAACATGACAATAACAATCTTATTAATTCACATAGTTCATCGCTATGGTTGTAAATAAGACGCGTGATCAGAATTTTAAACGCTCTTCTCAATGTGTCACTAAAGTAAATGAGAATCGATGGAGTCAGTAAAATTTGAGGAGTTTGAGAAGTTTTTACGGGGTTAGATGAAGCAATCACGAGTCAAACTCGTCGTTAACAATTTCAGCAATAATTATTAGACAACTTAGAGAATTAAAAACGCCAAAATTCAATCGGCGTGATCGGAATTTTAAACATTCTCGGTTAAAGTGGCACGAAGTAAATGGAGATTGATGGAACATTTGTTGAACATATATCAGCTCTAGTAGTTTTATTATTAAGTAAACATGACAATAACAATCTTATTAATTCACATAGTTCATCGCTATGGTTGTAAATAAGACGCGTGATCAGAATTTTAAACGCTCTTCTCAATGTGTCACTAAAGTAAATGAGAATCGATGGAGTCAGTAAAATTTGAGGAGTTTGAGAAGTTTTTACGGGGTTAGATGAAGCAATCACGAGTCAAACTCGTCGTTAACAATTTCAGCAATAATTATTAGACAACTTAGAGAATTAAAAACGCCAAAATTCAATCGGCGTGATCGGAATTTTAAACATTCTCGGTTAAAGTGGCACGAAGTAAATGGAGATTGATGGAACATTTGTTGAACATATATCAGCTCTAGTAGTTTTATTATTAAGTAAACATGACAATAACAATCTTATTAATTCACATATATCATCGCTATGGTTGTAAATAAGACGCGTGATCAGAATTTTAAACCCTCTTCTCAAAGTGCCACTAAAGTAAATGAGAATCGATGAAGTCAGTAAAATTTGAGAAGTTTGAGAAGTTTTTACGGGGTTAGATGAAGCAATCACGAGTCAAACTCGTCGTTAACAATTTCAGCAATAATTATTAGACAACTTAGAGAATTAAAAACGCCAAAATTCAATCGGCGTGATCGGAATTTTAAACATTCTCGGTTAAAATGGCACGAAGTAAATGGAGATTGATGGAACATTTGTTGAACATATATCAGCTCTAGTAGTTTTATTATTAAGTAAACATGACAATAACAATCTTATTAATTCACATATATCATCGCTATGGTTGTAAATAAGACGCGTGATCAGAATTTTAAACCCTCTTAAAGTGTCACTAAAGTAAATGAGAATCGATGAAGTCAGTAAAATTTGAGAAGTTTGAGAAGTTTTTACGGGGTTAGATGAAGCAATCACGAGTCAAACTCGTCGTTAACAATTTCAGCAATAATTATTAGACAACTTAGAGAATTAAAAACGCCAAAATTCAATCGGCGTGATCGGAATTTTAAACATTCTCGGTTAAAGTGGCACGAAGTAAATGGAGATTGATGGAACATTTGTTGAACATATATCAGCTCTAGTAGTTTTATTATTAAGTAAACATGACAATAACAATCTTATTAATTCACATATATCATCGCTATGGTTGTAAATAAGACGCGTGATCAGAATTTTAAACCCTCTTAAAGTGTCACTAAAGTAAATGAGAATCGATGAAGTCAGTAAAATTTGAGAAGTTTGAGAAGTTTTTACGGGGTTAGATGAAGCAATCACGAGTCAAACTCGTCGTTAACAATTTCAGCAATAATTATTAGACAACTTAGAGAATTAAAAACGCCAAAATTCAATCGGCGTGATCGGAATTTTAAACATTCTCGGTTAAAATGGCTCGAAGTAAATGGAGATTGATGGAACATTTGTTGAACATATATCAGCTCTAGTAGTTTTATTATTAAGTAAACATGACAATAACAATCTTATTAATTCACATATATCATCGCTATGGTTGTAAATAAGACGCGTGATCAGAATTTTAAACCCTCTTAAAGTGTCACTAAAGTAAATGAGAATCGATGAAGTCAGTAAAATTTGAGAAGTTTGAGAAGTTTTTACGGGGTTAGATGAAGCAATCACGAGTCAAACTCGTCGTTAACAATTTCAGCAATAATTATTAGACAACTTAGAGAATTAAAAACGCCAAAATTCAATCGGCGTGATCGGAATTTTAAACATTCTCGGTTAAAGTGGCACGAAGTAAATGGAGATTGATGGAACATTTGTTGAACATATATCAGCTCTAGTAGTTTTATTATTAAGTAAACATGACAATAACAATCTTATTAATTCACATAGTTCATCGCTATGGTTGTAAATAAGACGCGTGATCAGAATTTTAAACGCTCTTCTCAATGTGTCACTAAAGTAAATGAGAATCGATGGAGTCAGTAAAATTTGAGGAGTTTGAGAAGTTTTTACGGGGTTAGATGAAGCAATCACGAGTCAAACTCGTCGTTAACAATTTCAGCAATAATTATTAGACAACTTAGAGAATTAAAAACGCCAAAATTCAATCGGCGTGATCGGAATTTTAAACATTCTCGGTTAAAATGGCACGAAGTAAATGGAGATTGATGGAACATTTGTTGAACATATATCAGCTCTAGTAGTTTTATTATTAAGTAAACATGACAATAACAATCTTATTAATTCACATATATCATCGCTATGGTTGTAAATAAGACGCGTGATCAGAATTTTAAACCCTCTTCTCAAAGTGCCACTAAAGTAAATGAGAATCGATGAAGTCAGTAAAATTTGAGAAGTTTGAGAAGTTTTTACGGGGTTAGATGAAGCAATCACGAGTCAAACTCGTCGTTAACAATTTCAGCAATAATTATTAGACAACTTAGAGAATTAAAAACGCCAAAATTCAATCGGCGTGATCGGAATTTTAAACATTCTCGGTTAAAATGGCACGAAGTAAATGGAGATTGATGGAACATTTGTTGAACATATATCAGCTCTAGTAGTTTTATTATTAAGTAAACATGACAATAACAATCTTATTAATTCACATATATCATCGCTATGGTTGTAAATAAGACGCGTGATCAGAATTTTAAACCCTCTTAAAGTGTCACTAAAGTAAATGAGAATCGATGAAGTCAGTAAAATTTGAGAAGTTTGAGAAGTTTTTACGGGGTTAGATGAAGCAATCACGAGTCAAACTCGTCGTTAACAATTTCAGTAATAATTATTAGACAACTTAGAGAATTAAAAACGCCAAAATTCAATCGGCGTGATCGGAATTTTAAACATTCTCGGTTAAAATGGCACGAAGTAAATGGAGATTGATGGAACATTTGTTGAACATATATCAGCTCTAGTAGTTTTATTATTAAGTAAACATGACAATAACAATCTTATTAATTCACATAGTTCATCGCTATGGTTGTAAATAAGACGCGTGATCAGAATTTTAAACCCTCTTAAAGTGTCACTAAAGTAAATGAGAATCGATGGAGTCAGTAAAATTTGAGGAGTTTGAGAAGTTTTTACGGGGTTAGATGAAGCAATCACGAGTCAAACTCGTCGTTAACAATTTCAGCAATAATTATTACACGATTTAAAGAATTAAAAACGCCAAAATTCAGAATTTTAAACGTTCCCGATTAAAATGGCACGAAGTAAATGGAGATTGATGGAGCTTGGATGAAATTCAAGGAGAATCTTTACAGGGTTCCGATGGGTTAGTTGGTCGATTTGTGATTTGTTGCGTAGGGTGTCTCGGCGCGAGTATCGAAGGAATAAGATCCGCAGAATCGAACCGTTGGGCGATTAATAATATCGTGATCGATGCACAAAAGCGTCGGATATCGAGTGTGATTATCGACGCGATCCGCTTTGCCTGGGGCTGAGGCCTCGGCGGTTCATTAATCAAACGGTTTTCATCGGCGCGGAATAGTGACGGGAAGACGTAGAAATTCTCTTTCCGTCGAGTGTCTGCAACGAATAAATACGTTTCTCTAACGCGAGATTAATTACTTCGCCGGCAACTAACGCGAAACACGGAGTGATTCTCATAACCGATTGGAGCTAGTTTTATGGATCGACGACACGTGCAGCGTTTCTCGGGGCAGGAA